TTTTTTTTTTTTTTTTAAATAAGTTAGGTTTGGTAGGATAAAAATAAGAAAAAAAAAAGTGGCTTGTTTAATAAACTTCACTATATAATTTTCCAAAATAGCTCTATTCATTTTTTAAGCACCTTTTCCGTTAATTTTACTGATCACTCATGTTATATGAGCTAGCTTGTTAGTCAGACCGTTAAACACAAATAGTCGCTAGTGAATTCGGGTTGACTCGAGTTTGGCTCGGCACTTCTGATGAAGGAGGCGAACTCGAGCTCGCTTAAAGCTCGTTTCGTTAACGAGCCATGCACGGGTTTGCTCGATAAGGCCGGATTATTTTATATAATTTTCTATAGTTCTACTTTTTAAAGTTTGAGATGTGTTCGAACTCGGGTTGAAAATATTGATAAACGAGCTGAACTCGAACTCAATGTCTGGCTCGTTTACTTAAGTCCTACTTATCAACTAAATTTATCAAATATACCTCCTATTTTTTCGTCAAATAAAATATTGTATTTGCATTTTATACACACTCCCCATATTAGTTCTCAATCTAAACATTTCTTTTGAATATAAAGTATACCATTAAATTTTTTTAATAAAGTATAGCATTACAAAATATATATCGTATTCCAACGGTGAGATATTTCTTACCTATATTTAAATGGATATTATATTGACATATTGATTAAAATTTTTCAAAAGAGATAAATAAAATATTATAATATAATTGAATTCTCCTATAATTTCAGTTGAAAATTGATAATAGATAATGATTTTTTATTTACTTATTATTGTAGAAAATTCCTATTAAAGTATACAATTGTTATCGTTAGAATCATCAAAATTGAACGTAATACTTTTCAACAAATGTTGTAACATTTGAATATCAATTCAAACTCGGAACTATTTTCAGAATTATATTGGAATAAAGTATCATTGCAAAATAATCAATTTTACCATTAATAATGTTCTGCATTTCATAAAATTTAAACAAAACTTTATTTAACAATGCAATAAGATTTAAATTGTATAATATATATATATATATATATATATATATATAATGAGTCATCTTATTTACTAAATCTATATCTATATCTATATATGTATAAAAAGAATTACTATTTACTAAAAATAGTAATCCAAAAATTTAGGAAAGCATTTATTACGTACTATTTTAAGATTTAAAAAAAAAATAAAAAAAAATAAATAGGAATTAATTTGAATCTTATCCAAATTATTTAGGAAAGAAGTGGATTCCATACATGAATCCCTATAAATTAGGGATTTTTAATAAGTGACGGATAAATCATTAGTAAATCTATTTTTTTGGATTTATTATAAATCTTTTAAAAGAATTATAATAATGGAATGGACATATATATATATATATATATATATATATAATTAATTAATATTTACTAAAAATAGTAATCCAAACATTTAGGAAAACATTTATTACATTCTATTTTACGATTTTTTTAAAATTATTTAAGAATTAATTTGAAGTCTTATCCAAATTATTTAGAAATATGTTACAAAAAAAAACGTGCCATATTGGTTTTAAAATTTGAGATTTGAATGGGTTACACTAATCAAATTTATTCCAAAATTTGTTCACCATTTATGCTTTATCCAACTCATTTTATTTTGATTCCTTTTTCAATCAATTGAAAAATCGTGCAATCTTTTCAATAGTTGAATTTTATTTTCTTACTATTTGTTAAGTAAATTCGTTTTAGTTTTTTTTTTTAAATATTGATCTTTCCGTATGATTGATCAACCTTTTCAAAAATGATCTTTCATTAAATTTGTGGATTATTTTTTCTATTTCTTAACTAAATTTACCAATATTTTTTATTACATATATATATATATATATATATATATATAAAGAGACAATTTATTTACCAAAGATATTAAAAAAAAAAAATAGGTTAGAATTGAATGCAGCCCATAAATAGTAAGTTATACTATTTTTCTTATTTTTTTCTTTAAAAATCATACATCATTAAATGCCACCTTAAATTTTGATTTTAGTTCATTTTATTGTTTAAAAAATCAGGCTAAGATCTATTAAGTATTAAGTGTTCACGTTTTTATTTTTATTTTTTTTCTTAGAACCAATGAACAACATTAAAATCTCGGTCCCTATGTTTATAAAATCTCAATTCAAAATATAACAAAAGTTTTAGAATATCGGTCTCTATATTTGTGCCTTTAAAAATATTGAATGCTAAAAATATTATTTAAATTATTAATTAATTAAATTAATCTTAATTTTTTGAAAATTACTATGTTTATTTTTTATTAATATGCATAAAATAAAATTAATTAATTCTTCTTTAGATATATAATTTATAATCTTAATATACTATCATTTGGTGTAGACATTTATTATATGAATAATAAACTATTTTTATTTCATCAAATAAAATATTTTAAAGAAAATAAGAAAATTTCTTTAATCAATCGGGTGATTGAATTAGGGTACTGCCCAGGTTGATTAAATTACTTGTATGTGGTATTTAAAATAGTAAAAAAAAACTTCACACAACTTGGTTGGTCCTATGTGACAAATTTATGTAACAGTTTGACAAGACCAAATCGATTATTGAACCTAAATTTAAATTTTAATATTAAAAATACTTTATTACGTGAATGTAATGTAATTCAAACTTCATATAATCGTATTAACAATACTTTATGAAATCATGTTTAATAATTTATAAATATTTATATCATTTTATTTATATTTATGTGAATAAAATAATATTTTATTATAATTTCTATTAATGTACATTAAATATAAGGTTTTCAGAATCAGAATATCATCGAAACGATCAAGTTATTTTATTAAATCATTTGTGGTTTTTCAGATTTTTAATTTAGTAATATTTTAATATATATATATACACATATATAGTACTTTTTGTAATAAATTCAAATAAAATGTGTTACTTAAATATCTAAACAATTTAAAATTTCAATTGTTTAAACTAATTGATAAACAACTTATAAATCTCTATTTTATTTAAATATATAATTTTATTGAAAATGATTTTAAATGTAGCAAAATTTATTTAGAAAATCGTATCGATCATACCATTCAACCAACTGGTGTTGACGGATTTGCTAGCAAATAATTTATTCAAGCGAACTAAACTGGTTATAATCCGGTTCTCGGTCCACTCGGTCTGACTGTGACCAAACACGGTTTAATTTTAAAATGATGGATCTTGATTAATGTTATTTATATATTTAATTTATAACATAATCATAATATTATTTTTCCGTGCATCGCACGGGCCACACACTAGTTTAATAACAAGAAAAATCAAATAACAATTAATGCATTCTATTTTTATCATTTTTTCAAATTTATTATTATTTTATTGCCAAAAATTCGGTCACCATAAAATCTTTACAAGAATCGATCAACCAAAAATATCAGTTTTCCAATCCTATATTTATGGGTTTTTCTTTGTAAATTTATTTTATTATCTTCTCTTTGCTTCTCCACATTTTTCTTCTTCTTTTTCTTTAATTTTCCATCTTCTCAAATTCGCAACAAAAAACAATCTCTTTTCTTCCTCTCAAAGTCTCTTCCTCCTCAATTTCTTATTCCTTTCAAACATTATCGACTTTGTACAGAAATCAACATAAGGAAAAAAAACATGATAAAAAATCTGAATTCCTTTACCTGTAGAATTTTTATGTCTTCTCCGGAAGCTGCGTACGTTTATGTGTAGCAATAGGTTTACTTATTAGGTTGAATGTTTTTTAAATGAGTTATTTTCATAACTTCTTAATTAATTTAAAATAAACATAAATTCTAAAGGATACATTAGTTATAATTTTCTTGAGTTTATAAAATAAACTGATAATTATTATTATTTTAAAAATACAGGTTCAATTATTTGAGTCAATTTATTTTTGAAATTCTTTAATATTATTTTTTTAGTTATGATATAATTTTTATAAATGATAATAAAACTTTCAGTTGATCCTCTTTTGTTGGTATTTTCCCTTATGTTATACAATCTTCTTTATGTATTGATTAATTGGAAATGGTGATTTCTCACATTTAAAATATTTATAATTATTTAATTGACTAAATACTAATTTTATAAATATTTATAATTAAACATGATTAATTATAAATAATAATAATATAGTATAAAATATAATTTAAAGCCTTTTTTTTTTTCCTAATATAGGGATAGACGAAAAGTAGTTTATAACCCTAATATTTTCTAGACTTAACGTTCATTAAAAGAGAAGTAGAAAATAGATGATAATTTCATTATTTTTTAAACTTAATCGATCGAGTCTTTGATAACTCATTTAGTATTTTTGTCCCGTGCATCGCACTAGATACGTACTAGTCATAATAAATAAACTTATCAATTAATTACTCATAAATGAAAATTCTCTTAACAATTGAACTTAACAAGTTCATTTCAACACTTTCAAATTAATAGAGCTTCTTGATATTTAGCAAATCAATGTTGGCAATTAAACATAACAAAACTAAACTAAACATGATTAGAGAGCCACATAAAAAATTAGTAGACACTAATCTAATCTATGGCTAGGAAAATAGAGTGATTAACATCTAAAAGTGATTAAACCCAAGCTAATGACACGGCCGGTGCTCATCTTCTCGAACGCACTCATCAAAAAAACTGCAGCAATCAAAGCCTGAAAGCACCAAATAAAATGGCGGCAAACCCTTTATTTACAATAAAGAAAGGGAAAAAAAGGGCCACACACAAGAGCACACCGATGCAAGAAAG